ATAATCATTATTTGGCAGTGATAAGTGAGGCCGGCGTGGACGCGGTCAGTACGGGCAGTACAGGAAACTGTCTGGGAAGCCCCACCTTCAGTCGTCCCTGGGGAGCATTTCTGACAGGTGACATTTTTCAGCATGATGGAAACAGGTCAAGCCAAGGGTGACTGTTCACCAGGAGCTCTGTTTAGGGTTAGCCAGAGGCTAAAGAGGCAGCCATTGATGTCAACATAGGGCCAATCAGAGCACGGGAAACGTCAAGTGCTGTCTTAATGCCACCCAAACATTCTTGTCTGTAATTACTCCATAATTCTAATTCTGCAAATTTTTGTCACTGATTTGAAGCAACAAATACTATAAAGATAAATGACTAGCATTTAACCAGTAAATCTGTAATAATATGTTAGCAGAAACCCAGTAATCCGACTGAATCAATCACTGTCAACTTGGAACAATGAGAGACCATGAATTAAACTCTGTTCATCTTTAGACAACATCCACTTTATTGCATGTATTTTGAGGATAGTTGACCTCGTGTAACGTCAGGGATTCCGTTGTTGTACCAGGATGCTACTGGCTGGGCTAGCCATGTTAGCGTCACACTTACAAATGTCAGGAAATTGAGCTTCTTATGATGCCTACCTCAGGTTGTGTGACACTCGCTCACACCTCCTCACTCACACACACGCGTCCCAGAATCCACAGATGAACACATCAGTGCCATGTGAACGTGGGTTTCCTCCACAGAGATTTGTGTCCAAGTCCTAAAACCGCTGCACTCTTTTCACTGCCAGCACAAACTCACCGCACTACTTTCAGCCCAATTTTAAAAACTCGCTGTTAAAGAGTCAAGGGTAATAGTTTTTCCACAGGGCTATCATTCTGACGGCAGTGTGTGAACAGTGGCAATGAAGGATCTGCGTTAACACAAACACACGTACGTACGTAACAGAGGCCCACGTTCGTGAACTCAGTCCACTTTGCAAGAAACCTCGGTTTTACTCCTCTGTCCACAAATCTTCCTTGGATTATCTTCTTAAATCCACCTAATCCTTTTCAGGGTCGTGGGCGGGGCTTAAGCCAATCCCAGCAGTCACTGGACGAGGGCCGGGTACACTCAGGTCGAACACGGTGTTAGTTTTGTCAAATTTAACGCCTATTTTGTGGAAAGTAGGCGTTAAAGCATGGCACTTTTGCTAGCAAAAAAGAACACATTTATTTTGGAGGCTTCATTGATGGCACTTTTGCTAGCAAAAAAGAACATTATTTTGGAGGCTTCATTAGAGTACTGGTAGTTATTTTGTCAAACGACAACAAAAAATTATAAGAAAATGTCTGGGTAATGACATTTTTTTGTTATTGTTGTCAAACATCTGGCCAATGCTGGTACTGCGCCCCGAACTGCATTTCCAGGTGGCTTCAAAACTTAGCCCTAGCAGGGAAGTCCGTTCTTTATAAACAGTCTTTAGTTTCACGGTGCGTATTATTTCTGCAGTTACAGTCTGTTATTTACATTTCTATAAAATAAGTGAGGTGTAATTTTCCCCCCGACATCCTGCACACACAGGTCGTACCGATTCACATGGGCTGAAGCTGACCTTTGTTTGGATATAGGCTGAAACCACACACACACACACACACACACACACTACAGCTCATGTGTGTAAAAAAAGAAGTAACACTCAAACTGAGAAGTGTGGTTTCTGCTACTTCCTGCCAATAAAAGTCTGTTTTAGCTCCGTTTCCTCTTTGTTCTGAGCTGAGCAAACAATCGAGAATTAAATCTCTCCTGCAGCCGGGGCTTAGTTACATCTGTAGAGTCTGTAGTCTGTGTTGTTAATTTACAGCCAGTGTAGACTTCGACTTTATACACCAATGTTTTTTAGGGGAATAATTTAGGGTTGAATTTCAATATTTATTAAAAATGGTGACAGACAAAATGAGACAGATGTGATTTGTGACTCTAGATTATACAACAAAAATCAACTTGACTTGAGTGTTTTACCAACGTACGAGTTGTTAGTGAGTTTTAGGCCACATCAAATACAAAAACAAAGCTTTAAGGATTGGACTTCAACCTTAACTCAATGAACCCTTAAACTTCCAATTTCTATTCGGTGCCTAATTTATTGGCACACGTGACATTTTTCACGTCCATTTATTGAACCTCCTATGAAACTGTTTGGGAGTCTCCTTGAGGGGAAGTCTGCCTCCCACCAGGAAAACCTCACCTTTAAAAGCATTAATCAAACCATAAAGCTGTAAAAGACCAATGGACTTCGAGGTTTTTACGAGGCTTCATCCAATTCCACAAGGATGAATTCAGTTTGATTCACAAGCTTCTGACAACTTGCACATAAAGTAAAAAAAAAAAACAACCTAAATTTGTCTGGTCGTACACAAAAAAGGGACAATTTCCACAGTACTCTGTGAGTAGTACGCACCAGTCTGGAGTCTCAGAGCAGTACAGAGATGTGGAGCCGAGCCGCTCTGGTCGGGCAGATTTATTCCACCATATACAATTACCACTGTGTTTACAGTGCTATTTTTGGGGGGCAGCAGAGCACGCAGATGCAAACAAACACACCCGTGTCCGCAGTCACATTCAAGTCACCACCGGAGCACATGTATGCACAGGCACACGCTCCCTTAATGTTACCTTGGGCGCAGTCACACACACACACATGTCCCTCCAGATGTTGTTTTGGACTCGTCCCTCGTTTTGTCGCTCGCAGACGGCCCAGAGTGTGTATCCATGTTTGGATAAATACACACTCGCTGGCGGAGGTGTGTATTTCACGTAATTGAGTACTCGTGGCATATGGTTTACAGTGCGCTTGGGCCAGCGTGGGCACTGAAGGGGGCCACATACTTGGTAACACACTGAGGTTAGGGCGAGTACATATGCAGTACACAGTAGTACTGTGAGAGTACACTGTGCAGCAGCAGCAAACGGAGAGAGACGTGGAGCGAGCAGATGCTCACGTACGACTGTTTGGGTTTTTTTTTTTCTTGACATGCATGACACGGTGCATTAAGGTTGTTAGCATACGTGGAAACACAGAGTAATACTTTATGAATACACGGAGCCGGTCGTACAGATGTCGGTGGTTTAACGCAGGGTATTTGTTGTTATACGGCGCAGCTGTACAGCCTAATTGTGAAACATATGACAACGAGCTCCTCGTGGGATTAGAACTCCTGATGTATTCATGCAGATGCTGCACACACACACACACACACCACCTCCATATTCTGTTCCTCATCGTGAAACACCTTCTGCAGCAGTTTTAGAAAATGACCAGACTGCACCATAAACACACACTGTTGTTCTC